CTCAAACATTCATAATTATTGAGAGCTTTAATTTACAATTTGATACAGTACAATTCGTTTTTTATCATACCGGTTTTATATCATACTTCTTTTTTTATCATAGATATCTGAAACACAAAACCATTTTCTTAATAATTCATTATAAATTTTGTCTGTTATTATCATAGGTAAAAGTATACACTTCGCTTACTATAATAGAAAATGTCCGTCCGTAATATTTTTTCACACCTTTTCACTCTTGGGACAATCAACAAAACAAAAGATAACACCTATCTACACCTGTGGTTCATGCACTGTCGCTTGTCTATACGCAATGGCTTGATTTTCACTTTGAAATTTGCCGATAGTGAAAGACTGGGGAGATTAGTCACACTTCAGTGCACTTACCTGAGCGATTGACAGGGAGTCTGTTTATTTCATGAAGTACATGACAGGATAACACGAACTCTTTTTTTTTCATAACTTATTTTCTTCTTATGTTAATCCTGAATTGTACGTTCGTAATAAATACGTTTTACCAAATGTGTTGAAACTAAATTTAGTGTCAATATTAACCCAAGCTTTCTTACGCTTGGTGTCTGGATCAATGTTCATAGTTAATTACATTTACAAAACTGCCCGATTAATTAAGAAATAATTAAGTGAAATTAACTCTTTCACCAGTCTGTCCAAGCGGCTTTGAATGCATATGCTCATCAGTGTATCAATTAATTTTAATTATACGGCGACATTGAGTGTAAATAGGTAATTTTTTTATGTCTACTTTGGATGAATAAAAGAAACAATTTGAATGCATGCTTTGTTGCTGTGTTAATTTATTTAATATGTGACCAAAAAAATAAACCAAAAAAAAAAAATACGAAACGAAACATTGGTAATTTGAATTGACCATAAATTAAAAATGAAAGTAGATCAAAATAAACAAGATGGATGCCAAGGGATCTAGAAGATTGAGTTTGAAGCGTATTAAGCTTTATTTAAGTGAATTTATTTATAATAAAAAGTTGAAACAGTAAGTAAATATTGTGAAATGATATGTCAGTTAACTTGTATTTCAAATAAACCTAAAAAATCGAAATTATATGAAACGTAAGATGTATAATACATCCAATAATTTACACAAACATCGTATCGTCAGCCGTCCGACATGAATTTCAGCCGACTATGGTTATTATAAAAGTCGCTTATTATAAAGTTTTGGCCTGACAAATAAACCATGATAATAAACGAATTGTACTGTACTATGCTTTCAATGTTGAATTAAATACTTTAAACAACGAGTAAGTAATAATAATGGTTTTCCAATCAAAATTAGCAGAATCAGTTCTTCTAAAAGAAATATCGAATATCCTGATCCTTCCCATTCTTTTTACAAGTAACTGACAGGATTAATTTTGAAAACTTGAGTGTAAAGAATGGACATGATGAATGCTATCTTTGAAAGTTCAAATCATGAAATTTCTTTGAATACTGAAGAATCAAGTTTAAATTTTTTTTTCATGTGTCATGTTCGTCAGCAAGGCACTTACAGATTAATTCTGTTTGTTTAAAAAGCTTTTTAATTATTGCAGACAATTTTAATCCTCTGTAAAGTTTCCAGGAGTGGAAGTCAGAGTAAGCTAGTGACCAAGAAAAAAAGGTGAATTAATAAGTAAAGCTAAGCATAAAATTATATTCATCAAATTTATTACATTTAATATGGTGAAAACTTGAACAACAAGATCACCATATAATAAACAAAATAAAACCACCTAAACAGAATTAAATTTAAACATGTTGAAGTATAACAAGAAGAATATGTATGACTGGATCAGGAATCGAACATGGGATCCCTGCATCACTAGTCATGCTCTAACCAGTGTCAGCTACGCATAGCGATATCCACAGCCCAAACCACTGCATTCCTATCTGCTTAAATTATCTTCTCCCTCAAAGATGCACAACCCAGCTACTTAAGCCCCTGGCAGGACCAGCATGCAAAACCAGGGATGGTCAATGGCACCAAATGTAACAAGATGAAAATTTATGGCTGAACCAGGAATAAAACCTGGGACCCCCATATCACTGATCAGGTCCTAAGAAGGTAATCTAACCAGTCTGAGCTAGTACCAGGCAGATATCTATAGCCCAAATCCACTACAGATGAGAAGGCAGATTCAAATCAATCAAGTCCATGATCAAATAACTTCGACATATCCATGGTACTCAAAATACAATGTATCAGTGTTTGAGATACTGAAGTTCAACTGCACATTATTTTTTAGGGCAAGTGGACAAAAAAACTTAGAGAAAGGAGTAGGGATGGAAGCAAAATGTGATTGGAAAGAAGAAATAAAGGAACTCATAAGTCCTGATTCATCAGACTAGCAAGACTTAACATCACTTATAGGTTAAATTTTTATAGGTTAAGTGGATATCAGTTACTGATTTAAAAAATCTAATTCTAAGCATTTGTTGAGCAATTATTTCTATTCTGACACCGATACATATATATTATTATAACAGTAACTTGATCCGAAGAGCCGTATCACGTCAAGCTGACAGGCGCGGATCATCAGATCAAACGAGACGCGAAGCGTCGAGTTTGATCTGATGATCCGCGCCTGTCAACGAGACGTGATACGGCTCTTCGGATCAAGTTACTGTTATAATGATGAATTTATTTTATACCCCTTTACAACTAGCAAAATATAATAAAAGGAAACTTTTTGGATCAATTACCTAACTTTTATACAGTAAACAAACCATTTTGTCAAGGAACATTTTGATGCGTGAGAATAAAAACGTCATTTACCTGTGTACTACGTCATCAGTTTCAGAGAGGGGTGATATGGATTCAGAAAACCATAGTGTGGTGATCCGGAATGTCGGATCACACCGTCACGTGATTGCATAAATTCAACAGTAAAACTGAGTGACAAACAGTTGGGTATATAATAAAAATGTATTAAACATGACATAGAGACTGAGGATTGGGTGAGGGAAGAACAATTTGAATATTCATTTCAAACTCTTCATCATATTCAGATCATATGTAACTAGTTTTCTATACTGAATATATAAAAAATTTCATTTATGCATTATATTGCTTATATGAATATAGAGCATATGTGAGAAAACATATGTAAGAAGAGCTAGTGATATTTGGACTTCAAGAAAAAAGTAGATTTTTACATAACAAAATAAGAAAATAAGGTCAATTTAAACACCCTCTCTTGTCTATCCTACACTACACAAGTTTATGTTAATCCAAAACATCTATTGTACTTTTCTATATTTTCTTTTTATTTTCTTCATTTTAATCACAAATGGTGAATAAGATTTCATTTTTATGTAAAGAAATTAAAAATAAAGACAACTTAAGTGAGATCAAATTGCAGCACAGCATGAACAAGTGGAATGTATGAAAACACAATGCATGCCTGAACCTGTGGCTAGTCATTTAAACTTGTCAATTTTCTGACGGCGAAATAAATATGTTTAAATTACAACATTGATTTCCAATTACAAAATGATATAAAGTCCATCAAAAATGCTTTAATTATTTCTGAGAGACAATACTATGACTGCATACTAGGTCACTGATACTTCGTAAAAGGAAAGTTGCCAAAATGAATGAGCAAAGGGACAAAACTGTGAAGATCAATATCTAGACAAATCCTGCTTTTAATTACGGTTTAATACTACCAATAATCTAAATGTTATATAGACTCGCACAAAAATAGCACAGTGTGTGTACAATGATAACATAAATATGTTTTTTGTACATATCTGCTGTCATTCCTGCAAAGAGCGTCATAATCACTGTGGAAACCAACAACGGTGCGTGCAATCATAAAACATGCTGTGAAATTTACCAATTAATACGTTCATTTTTATGCAAAAAATTAACAAAATACTTACAAAGAAATGTTTATCAAGCCTTTCTGTAACATTTTAACCCGTCATTTTACCAAGAGAACCTTTAACTCGCATATTATAAACAATCCTTCCGAGGCGCTAGTCTCTTCATTGAATCCTAAAAATGATTTTTGACGAAACGAAAATGAACAGAGGAAATATGTTACTATGTAATAGTTTCACTACTTCTTTACATATCGATAGATGAATAATCTTTAAGACTATAACGTATAGTCTATAACTTATGAAATACAGCATAATTGTTCTGAAATCAGATATTATTGATTAAAACTCTTAATTTGGAAAAGGAAGAAACTAAAATATCGATCCCGATCAATATAGAAACGATGCACAAACACAAAACAAGTAAAACTTGAAAGTCAAAGTCCCGACGCATTTGTTATATAATAATGTAATAATTTAATTTTGAAGGCTTTTTCTCGGAAATTTTGTTCATGATCATTTTTTTTTTTTTGCGTAAAAACTAAATACTCAGGACTAAGAAAATATGAAAGATTTTAAAGCCCTATATGGCGTATTTTTTATACGTTCAGACTGACTAAAATTAAAAAGATCTTTCTATATGTTTTATTACTTAATATAGAGATAGGAATTTCCTGTAAATTACACAATTTAAATCAATCACGTTTCAAAGATATTAGAAATTTAAAACAATAACCGATTTATTTACACGACTCCTCATTTGAATAACAGACACAGTTTAAAGACATTTAACTATTAAAACATGGTTATTCAAGTTCAAAATCGGTGAAAATTTTAATTTGAATGTAAATAACATATATCATGTTTATCTACACCCAATCTCATTTGTTTTTTTAGCTCAGATATGCCATATATAGCTTTAACGATTTCAGCGATGCACAAACTTATTCTCTCTCTCTCTCTCTCTCTCTCTCTCTCTCTCTCTCTCTCTCAAATTGTCTATTATACAGTGTTCAGATACCAGTTTAGGCAGAAAAAGACAACACCTTTACTAGAATGAAGGACTGTTTGTTTGTTTGTTGTTTAACGTCCCGCTCGAGAATTTTTCACTCATATGGAGACGCCACCATTTGCCGGTGGAGAGCTGCAAATTAGGGATGGAAAACCTTAATTGGAGTATCTCCAACTTTAAAAAAAAATCCCCTCGTTTGAAAATATTTAAACCCAATTCTACTCAAGATTGCTTGAAATTGATTTTGTTCATAATCTAATGGAAGTAACCATATCTATAAATAACTTATTGTTTATTGTAAAATATGCATTATGATATTCTAATTTACTATGGACCAGGAAATAATTATGAGATGATCAGTACTATGTTACTCTTGTTCAACTTATTTTGTTGTTAATAAGTGTTAATGAGTATATGACCCCCAAACCCCATCCCCACCCCCACACCAAAAAACCTTTTTACTCATTAATATAGACTGACACATTCCTACCCACCCACCAAAAAAACCGTTTCACTCCCTAATAGACTGAAGTAGTTGAATTTAAAAAAAAAAATGAGATTTTACGATTAAAGTTTTTGTTTTGAATTTCCAAATACATTATATTCATAAATGAATTTCTTTACAAGAAAAAATACTCATTTAAAAAAGAAGAATGAAAGCAGTGAAACGGCACGCGAATTTTGAAAGGTTTTCTTTTAAAGCTTGAAGAACCTTATATCTGTGTATTGCTTTCTTTTACGGTGAATCCAAGACAGTGACATCGAGACTAAAACACTTTGTAAAATATAAAATGTAGAGGGAATAATGAACGATGAAAATCATTTTTAAAAAGTAGCAAAAAAATGATGAACGACGAATACTAGATGATAAAAGATGAATGAGGAAAACCACTGCTACTTGCCGCCTATTCCGCAGCGACAACCTCGCCCTGTAACACGGAAAAGGAGAGGACGTAAGTCAGAGGAAAGAGGGGGGGGGGGGAGACAAATTGGTCAATTTCTAGATTCTTTTAGTTAAAAAAATGAATTTACACTACTCGCATTTACTTTTTTTTAAAGAAAACGTTGCAGCAGATAATCTCTTCTTTGACATACTTCATTTCAATAATAGTTTTTAGGGACCATGTCTTCCAACAATCTGTTGGAATTCCCATGGGTTCTAATTGTTCCCCGTTATCAGATGCACTGAAGCAGATCTGTCTTTTTTATTTTTATGAAGCAGAAACTTCTACATGAAAAGAAGAAGTCTCTTGCTGTCGCCTTCAATTCGACATTTAGATACTAGTATATCGACGACGTTTTATCAATAAACAATATATTCATTTTCATTTTCGATATATTCCACTGAACGCAAAATAAAAGATACCACAGAGTCTGACACATCTGATTCATATTGAGATATTTACCAGAGAAAGACACTGATGGTAAGCTAACAACTAAACGTGATGACTTCAACTTTTCTATCGTCAACTTATCTATGTAGCAATATACCATTACCACCTGCACCTGGGGGTAAACTTATATCTTATAACAGCTGATTGGATACGCAAGAGCATGTTTTATGTACGAACAGTTTCTAAAACGAGGAAACGAGACAGGCTATTGGCAAGTTGATGATACAAGGATATCAATAATCTAGTTTAAAGTCAACATTTCGTAAATTCTATGATCGATACAATGACCTCGTTTGTAAATACAATCGTTAGGTTGCATGTTGACTTTTTTCCTAAAAAAAATTATTAGGCCATTGTTTTCACGCTGAATTGTCTAATCTAAGAACTTTTCCATTTACCCGATCATAACAAGGGGAACATGGCGGGTGTGACCGTTCGACAGAGGATGTTTACTTCTCCATGGCACCTGATCCTACTTCTGTTTTCAGGGGCCATGTTGTCTCTGCTCAAAATTTGTATTGTTTTAATGGATTCTTTGCTTGATCTTTTTGTTATTTTCACATCTCATAAACGTGTATCGCTAATTACCGTTCTTAAAAATATTACGCCATATATAACTGTACATGTATTTCTATGGTTCGTTCATGAACTAACGAAGTTTTTTATGGTAATTACAGCTCCTAATGCTGAAAAGTTGCCTGTGCCATCTAAAAATGACAAAGAGCAAAGTCCCCACTACAGATCACCAAGAAGAGAACACGACATCAAGGATTCCACACATCTGGTATCACAGGCGCGGAACGAGTCGCCGCTACAAGTTCTATCCCGGACAGAAAGAGATAAAACTCGACCTCGAAAAATGAATAACACAGCAAACGACAAATCACCCCCTAGAAAAGAGAAACCATTGATCAAAAGAAATTCGCCTTCAAGAAGAGGCGGATCTCACCATTCACCCAGAAGGAGTGGTGGTCCTGATGACAACCAAAAAGCAGTTGCTTCCGTTCGGTTACCTAGAATTCAAACAGGGAAACCAAAAATCAGGAAAATGAGGAGTGAGTGATTTTTGTAGATCTTGATCATTTGGTAATTCTTTAAAAATTGTATATACCATGATTTATATATATATATATATATACATATATTAAATAGGCAAATTCGGGGAAAATAAAGGTGATGTGCAAAACGTATATGTCATACATGAATCCAATGTTGCCATTGGGAGTCAGCAGTCAATTCATACTTATAAACAGAAAGGTAAAAATCCTACTTATTTTATCATGTATCAAAGTGTAAACAAGTGAAAACAAGAAAAATAGTGGACTGTAATCAGGACATTACCAACATTGCTCTATTTTAGGTAGTACAAACCAAAGGAGAAAATTTCTGAACGATCTGAAACCCAGACTGGAAATTTTAGAAGGTGTGACTTGATATGATATCTTTAAGATTTTTTTTATTAAAACTTACTTATTCGTTAAAGTTATAATTAAGAACATATTGACCTGAATCACCCAAAATAAAATGTATTGAAAATATCTTTATTTAAACAGAGGAAACGCGTGCCATGCTTGAGGCGAAAAGCAATTGTCTACAAAACCTGATTGAAATTAGGGCTTACACAAATGCAAGAGACATTTTAAAGAGAGAAAAGATCCTCGTGATCAAGTCAAAACCAGGAGAAGGTAGCTCTTCCATTGCAACAAAGCTGTTACAAGAATTTACACAGACAGACGACCGCCACCCAAAGATTCCACTTCAAGTTACAGAGGCTGGTGACTTTGACGAAGCTCTTGGTAGGAAAAATACAGTTATTTTTATTGATGACTTGTTTAAATTGGGAACAGCGTCTCTTGAAAACAAGAAAGAGTGGGTTATAAAACTTCAGCGTCTTATGACTGCCGTGCAGGTTAAAGATAGAAATAGCTACGTCATCATTACAATGCGTGAAGACGCTTGCGAACATTTGCAGACAGCTTTTCGAGACCAAAAATCCTTCCAAGCTGCAGTGATAAACATAAGCGAAGAGAACAACAGTCTTAATTTCGAGGAGAAGAAAGCATTACTAAATCAATATGTGGCACCATTTGCAACCTTAACAGATTCACAATCTGAGGAGCTTATCAATGCCTCCCTTGCGTTTGGTTTTCCAAAGTGCTGCGATATTTTTCACACCAATTTCAACCTTCATGTAATTCCATTGGAATTTTTCAGTGATCCCCAAATCTTTATCCAAGATGAGTTGGAGGTAATACTCAAAGAGGATCCCCCAAGACTGGCACCTCTGGCTCTTGTTCTCCTGGGTGGAGGGGCTCTCTCAGAAAACCAACTCCATGTCATCGCCATCAAGAGAAATTGTCGTCTGTGGACCATACTCGAAAAATATTACGAGGATCTTACAAGAGAACCAAAGCAAGTAAAGACCATAGCGCATGCAGCAAGAGGAACTTATCTACATTTCGATCGGAATACAAATCTATTCACGTTTCCTCATCCATCAATACAAAAAGCCATGGCATGTGTATTGGGCAGAGTAAACTTGAAACCTGTAATAAAACATTGCGACCTGTCAGTTCTTCCAAATATTCGCACTAAAAGTGACTTGTGCAAATCAAAAGACACAATTCTTTTGGAGACTTCATGCTACAAGCCTCTCTGTGAAATGATCATCAAAACAATGTTAAAGAGACAGACGGGGCATTTTGAAGCTTTGTCCAGAATGCGTGTCTGGGAAGAGGAAAACTTTGCATCATCCTTTGCACATTTTCTCAAGCAGAAGAACAGGGAAGAGGCGTTTTCTATACAGGATGCTTCAAGTAGGTGGCTTATTGAACATGCACTGCAAAATGATAAATACAAAGCGGTTGAAAATATGATATCGGTCGCTGTAAAGACTGAACAGAGCAAATACTTGTTAGACAAATCCTGTGTAAACAACTCACATCAGCTAGCAGTGAGACTTCTAAATTACAACGTCCGCCCCGATATCGAGACAATTCAGTATGGTATAAAAGGCAGAAATGTACCAATTCTCCGTGCCATACTTAATCGTACAGAGAAAAACATCGATCCATTTGCGCGAACAAAAAGTAAACTAATGGACGAATTCTCTTCTGACGTCACTATTGCAGATGAGGCATGTTTGTCCGGTGACGCAGAAATTGTACGTGTCATAACCGAGTATTTTCCCGACCTCGTGAATTCAAGAAAGGAAAATAGCTTCCTTGTTTTGATTAAAGCTGCGATCGCAGGTGAGAGTTGCGAAATTGTGAATAAAATAGTGGAAATGGGCGTTGATGAGCGGATTGCCCGTCAACACGGACGTAAGAAGAACGTTGTCTTTTCAATTGCATGCAAGAATGGAGAGACAGAAGTTGCTAAATATTTCGGTAAAGATGACATTTCTCTTTTTTCTTCAAAAGATAAAAATAGTTACACACCGTTGCATTCAGCTGCCATTGGTGGAACAAGAGAACTCGCCGTTTATCTTATTCAAGGTGGAGTCGATCCGTTTGCGGTGACGGTGAAGCAAGCTACTGCTCTCCATCTGTCTTGTGCTAGCGGAAACCTCGACGTTGTGTCCTTCCTTGTAGATGAGTATCCAGCTCTTGTTGAAATGGAAGATAGTAAAGAAGCCACCCCAGTACATTATGCCACTAGAGGAGGATCTATTGAAATTTTGACTCTTCTCATAGAACGGCAAGCACATATTTCCAAAGTCACCAAGAAAGGGGAATCTATATTTCATGTCTCTTGTCGCTGGGGATACATAGAAATCGCCAAACTGATTGTCGAGAAGTGTCCCGAGTTGTTGTTTGTTACAACCAAAGATGGAAGGACAGCACTCCATTTTGCCTGCGCCACAGATGACCTTGATCTTGTCAAGTTTCTTGTTGAAGACCTTCATCTTAGCCCTCTACAAACAACCTGTGATGGAAAAACCTCCCTTCAGCTCGCCACTGGATATCAAGTCAAGGAATACCTTCAGGGATTCTGTCAGGGGGAGAAATCGTCTTTCAATCCAGAAATTAATACAAGCTTGTTTCAGACATCACTAGTGTGAAGAAGTATGCACCTTAAATGATTGGTGTGCAAGCGTAGTGTTCTACACCAATCTAATTCTTTCATTTGTGTTAGATTACAACAAAAAAAACAACTTCCGTTGGTGTTCCTCATTGTTTTGACCTTCTGCTACAGCTGAATGTTTTAAACCATTTAAAAAACATATTTTTCATATGTGGCAAAAGTTCTCGTTCTTTTTTTTCCCGTTTTACAGTATGTACTTGTTTATGTACTTGTTTGAACTTTCCTCTAATTTTTCCCGATCATGACAATGAGCAAATGGCGGGTGTATCCATCGACAAGGGATCCTTTCTCCTCCATGTCACCTGATCTCACCTCAGATATATCTTAGAGGTCCGTGTTTGCCCTGCTCCCGATTTGTATTGTTTCAATGGTCTTCTGAGCTTGAGTACTGTTCGTTATCTCCATATTTCATTCTTTGATATGTTAACACTTTCATCTATGTTATTTACCTTACTGTATATCTGTGAATTTCTTTTCAATGTTTTAGTAGTTGAATTCAATTGTTTTTAATCCTTTTATTCTTGGGATGGTGCTTTGTTTTGTTTGTTGTTAATTTTTTGTTGTTGTTTTGTTGTTTTTATACCGTTTAACACGTGTTATTATTGACACATGATATTTTTGGATAGCTTGTATGACTTCACAAAAAATTATTTGTTAACAATACATTTCACGTCATTATTTTAAACCTTGCGTTGTTTGTTGTAGTTTTGTTTTCCAGATTTTATTTTAATATCAAATGATCAGTTTTCATCAGATCTCAAATCAAAATCATTATCTGTTACACAATGAGACTTTATATACATTATGCTTAAATAATTTAATTTTGTTTGTATTCTAGCCTCTGATTGGTTAATATCCAAAAAGGAACACAAATTATTTCTGTATAACCTGGTTTGGTATGGGGACACACCCCCCTGACAACCAGCTGAATCGTCTGTATCCATGCAATGCTCTCATTTCCAGTCCTCGGGATTCATGGAAAATTCCAGATTTAATAAATGTACCTTTAGCTTCAAACAGTAACTCGGATCTTACCACATGCAAACAAAAAACATGGCTGCTAGGACTATGTATCAGTTTTTACCTCCCCTTGCTTCCCATCACTTCCTTTACTAGGGTTGTATTATTGAGCGGCAAATTTGAACTAATAAAAAGCAACGAAATTTTACACCCACAGTTGTTTAATGATTTTAGAATTAAATTATAAGGAATGACTCTAATTCTTGGCCAAATTATTCGAGTATAACCTGGTTTGGGTCAGTTTACGCTGTTTTATAATCCGCTTCGCGGATTATAAAGCGTAAACTGACCCAAACCAGGTTATACTCGAATAATTTGGTCAAGAATTAGAGTCATTCCTAAATAAAATTTTCAAAATCAAAGATTAATTGATGTTAATGTAATTTACCCTTTTTGAAAACCAATTATAAGAGAGGTGTTGGACCAACCCTTGTGACCTGTTTCCATTGCAATTCAAAACACGTGGCTAAACATTTTATCTTCTTATCCTTATTATATCTGTCTTCTCAAGGGATTTATTAGATTGGCATCTTTGTTTGCCCGTCTGTCACAAAAATGTACCCAGACCAAAACAAGACCGCTGAGTAAAATGTATAATCACCTGCATATGGACTTTATGTTCAGTTTATTCGATACGCCCGATCATGATAAGGAGCAAGGCAGGTGTGACCGATCGACAGGGGATGCTTTCTCCTCCATGGCACCTGATCCCACCTCTGATGTTTTTAGAGTTCCACGTTTTTCTGCTCCCAATTTCTTTTCTTCCACTGGACTCTAGAGCTTGATATTCAAGATGTACTTTAAATGTAATTGCCACTTGGCATTAAGTTGCTAAATTTGTATTGTAGTCGGAACTCTCGTAACCTTGATTTCAGAGAATTCAATCTTTGTTACATATATTGGTGTCAATGACCTGAATCAGGACTTTCATTTACTCTACGGTCATATCTGAAAATCATTGACCAAGTAGATAACGAATCCGGGAATTTGGACTGGAATTATTTCACACTTTAGTATGTTGTTGTTCATGACCTAAAGAAAGATGTTTCAAGAGTTTGACTCAGTGTCGATAGCATATCTCAAAATTAGCGCAGTTTGATAATGAAATGGTGACATATGCCATTGGTTGCAATGATTTACAATTTTAGTATATAAAGTTGCTCATAAATTTTATCTATACAACTTTGAAAACTTTCACCGCAAATTTCAAACTTTATTATGTTGTTGCCCATCACATTAGATGTGTACTTATTTTGAGAGAAAGGAAAAAATGTAACGTAGTCGAACAAAGTAACTGCTGGGAAAAGTGAAAACTCCCTTTTCTTTCAAAAACATATAGTTATTATGATGATTTTACATGAAACCAGTGTAGGCATGTACATACAAGTATATACCGAAGTCCAAACTTGAAAAGTTTGACAAAAACATGCTTAGGTTGCAATACAGATTTTCATGACTTCGTTACTGAGTATTTGGTAAAATACATGGCTTGTCTCTACGGCATTTCTTTTATTCAGCTATTTTCAAAAAAGTTAACGTTTTGACATGACTAGGTTTGTTCTAAATTTTACAAGAACGCTTTTTTTCAAAAGCAAAGCAAAAGTCATCCATCTGTGTTGATTTATTACAACAAACGGAAAAAGAAACTTTTAGTGAATCAAGCGATGATGCAGCGATTCTCTCACCACATGTATATTGATTGCTCGTGGAATAAAATTAATATAACAAAAAGCAACAAAAAAAAAAGATTTTAGTTTATGTGAGCGAAAAATAATTAAGTAGTAGTATACATGCGTTAGAGTTATCCAGAAACAAGTGGTGTACTGAAAAACATTTTTAATTATTAATATCGCCCATCATGAACACTTTGAACAGCATTTGTCATGTCTATTAGAGATCTTTCGGACTTTCATAGCTGCCTTTAGTTGGAAACTCCAGACCATCTCCCGGAAGTGGAGAGGGAATAAACGGACAAAGCCACGACACACGCCAATTCTTGCCCAGAATTTGTCTGAGGTTTTCCCAAAGTCCAAGGTCGTACGTGTATATGCCGTGCCTCCGTTCGTATGTTGTCATGTTATGGCAGACATGTTTTATGTGCCAGACCGTCAGAATGGACAACATTACGGAAAACAGGGTGGCAATGAAAGACATAAGTACTGTATACGCCTTGTAAAAGTTAAAAACTCCAAACACGAACATTACTATCGGGAAAATAAATCCAAGTAAATTATAGGCCGAAAAATCTCCAAGCATGTCCCAGGCGAGACTCATGCTCATAGTGGAAGTAAAAACGGCGAGCATCAGCGAGTAGAACAGAATCGTCAGATAGTACCGGTAGTTAAAGTATCCAATGCAGCGACCTGTGTAGATGCAGTGATGGTCACGCTTGAGTACACACACGTTACATATTCCACAGTGGTAGGATCGCGGTGGAGCGTTGGTCTGACAAAAGTAACAGTAAGTCCAACCTACAATGGGAAATAAGATCCAATATTTCAATTGATCAATCCAAATGTATCAAGAGGTCAAAATTAAGATCCAATATTTCAATTGATCAATCCAAATGTATCAAGCTGTCAAAATTAAGAAAGGTTTATATTATGACTAGCCTTTTTTCCAAAATTTAATTCTAGCGGTACTTACTTTTGAAAATTCCAGCTATGTATATATATGTTTATATATAATCTTGTAACCTTGTTATAATCTAATATTGTTCCTATTTATGTATATATGGAAACAAATGTGAGCACAAATTACATCCGAGTATTTAAAAATATTTATGTGATAAAAGAAACGGTAAGAAATTAAAAATAAATAAAATAAATATATTAACTTAAGGGGAATACACCAAGGAGGGGATGGTAATGTTTTGTCGCATAGTCTCAAGTACCTATATTGAATACAAACAAGCTAAACCGAAAGTAAAGAACACATGTTAGATTTCCATTGCTGTAAACACCTGGTTCTAGTCATATCCTGGTTTACTTCTTTTACCTGGAATGAGTTTAACCTGAATTGACCTTGTTTTATAGTTATTACCTTGTTTTAGTACACTTGGTAGTACTATTCCTTTTGTTGTAGTGTTGTATACGTAGTTTAACCTGAATTGACCTTGTTTTATAGTTTTTACCTTGTTTTAGTACACTTGGTAGTACTATTCCTTTTGTTGTAGTGTTGTATACGTAGTTTAACCTGAATTGACCTTGTTTTATAGTTATTACCTTGTTTTAGTACACTTGGTAGTACTATTCCTTTTGTTGTAGTGTTAGTCATGACTACCCTCCACGTGCCTCCCATTACATTCACATACAGAAACAAAATCCACACCTCATATAAATAAATTGTTAGATCACTGGTTCCATAGTTTTCCTTGCGCCAAGGTAAAACAATGTAAAAGAGATAAAACATAATATTATGGACCAATAGCAACAAGTAGACGAACATGATTCTATCGATGGTCCTCCGGGGGACATAATTCTGGAGAAGCACGTCCATCGTCCCTCCCTAGTCTGTGCAATCCTACCCTCCTCCTACAGTTCTCCTATATAGTCCCTGTTCAAATTTAAATTGTTAACCTTTGTTTTGAACACAGGCATACAATCATCGTTTTTTAAACATGGCTATAGTTGTTGACTGTTCCGACACAACATACATATATATAGAGGGTATGTTTACCTTCTTATCGTACCACGTGTGTTTAACAAAAAGGCCATTTCAATTTAAATCCCACTTCCTGTATAAACATGCTTGTACACATGTACAGATATTGCGAAACACATGATCGATTGGTTGACTGAGGGTTTGTTAATTGTGTATCTCTAAAGACATAAGCATGGTAAATAAGTAATGGTGAAGCTAGATAAATCTGCACATTTACTCCGCTCCCAGACAATAACATAGTTTTGTGCTTGGACCAAAGATATGGGTTCTCAACAGGGAATAAATCGATGTGAAATCATACAACTGAATTCAATGTTTAAGAGTAATCACCTGCATCTAAGACTAGAAAATTGAACTACATGTATTTATTTATCGTTATTTAAGGACATACGCAACGTAGTTTGAACTTTATTGTCTTTTTCCCTGGAGTTGAAAAGTCCTGATACTAAAAGAATCTGTGTGCCATACATTTTAATGTCTATAAAATTATGCTTTTGTGCACTTCTTTTAAAACAAGTTTGGATGAACAAAACATCTAGAATATATGTTTAGTAATTTTTGTATATTTTTCTTTGAATTATACAAGAATTTTCATCCTTTGATATCTTTTCAAAATCCCCTGGTAATGCATGTTGATTTTTTTGTCTACGAACATCTGATGACACTATAATCTTAAATTAAGAATATCTTGAAAAATTATCAGTAGGTAAGGTACGTTGCGTAGGTCCTTTTAAGGACAGATGATGCAAACTTTCGAAAAAAAAATGAATATAACAACTCAAGTCATGTTAATATAAGTGAAATGAATAATTTTAACCGCATAGATTTAAATTTTTCATGCAAATTTTCACAATAATGTCTTATAAAGGAATAAAAAAAAAAGATTGTATAGATTTATAAGGATGATTGCAGAATGGTTGAATTTTGAACACCATAGAAAGTTTGCAATTTCTTAATATTGTGGAAATTTGATATTTGCATCTTTTACAACGAAATTATGTCCAAAAATATATATGTTTATCAATCCAGGCATCCATTTTTTTTTAACTTATATCATCCTTACGTCGAATGCTAAATGACTTTTTTTTTTAAAAAAAATACTTTTTAGGCAATTATTTTCAAACTGAATTGTCTACGGATTTTTCTGTTATTTCCCGATCATGACAAGGAGAACAAGGAGGGTGTCCCTGGTCGACAAGGGATGCTCACTCCTCCATGTTTTATAGGTCTGTGTTTGCCTGCTCCCAATTTGTATTGTTCCAAGAGTTTGATTACTGTTGTTATCTTATTATTTGGTTGAAAATTTAGTGTATATTGCTTTAGTTCTGAGATTAAAAAAAAAAAAAAAAAAAAAAAAAAAAAAAAAAAAACTGCTATATAAAATAGGAATGTTTGTTTGTTTGTTTGTTGTGTAATGTCCCTCTCCAGAATTTTTCACTCCTATGGAGATGCCACCACTTGGAGGGCTGCAATTTTATACCTATACTCGACACTCAGGGCCAATGAGCAGTGAGGGATATTTTTCGTGCCAATACCTACTGCGACACAGGACCTTGGTTTATACGGTCTCATACGAAGGACTGGTCTCCACGTCTCGCAGTAGATTCGAGCCCGCGACGAAAGGATCAGCTCCTTACTCCGCGACTCTAGAGCAGGCATTATAATCACTGCGCCACGCGGGCGACTCAACCTTGGAATGAAAATGAATATTGTTATTTGATAAAGCATCGTAGATATATCAAAATGTTGAATTAAAGGCCACAACAAAAGACTTCTTCTTTTTCAGTAAAATTTTTTGAAAAAAAAAATCTGCTTCATTGGAATACATAAATAGGTCTGTAAATAACAGGGCACAATTGGTACCCATGGCAACTCCGATATATTGATTTATTGTTTGAAGACCAGATCTCCAAAAACTACATAGATATTGTCAATCAGAAACTCAAGCATCTTTTTAATACTAGAATATACTAGTAATAGTATCAACTTCGAAGTGCTTGTGTGTGCAATCAGAACTTTTTTTAACTAATGACAAATGACAAGGTAAGAAAATTTACGAGTTTCATTTGTATTTGAAAGAGCAACTGTCTATGGTGTCAAAAAGATCTAATACCTGAAAACCAGAATTTTATTTATTTATTTATTCATTTATTTATTTTTTGTTGTTGTTTAATGACAAAATGTGAAGATAACAGTGATCATTCTCAAAAGTCCATTTAAAAAATACAAATTATGAGCAGAACCCACAGGGTCCTCTGAAAACAAAGATGGGATCAGGTGTCATGAAGGAGTAAGCTTCCCCTGCCTGCGAGTCACACCCGCTGTGTAATAACATACTGGTTCTATTTATATTTTCATAATAATTGAAAGTATCACATGTTCTCATGCTGGAATGTTCTCATTATTCCCTGTATTCTCATCAATGTTGCAGTTCGTAAGTCATGGTACGGAAATTGTCTGAGGGACTGTTCGTATGAGAATAGAGCAGATTGTATGTTCCCTGTAATCTGTTGACAAATCCCTAGGATCTGCCATGATATGCCTTTGAGTTTTTTAGGTACATATACCCCCTGGTCAAAGTGAACTAGAGCCTGTAGTTTATGTAGAGCCCTTTGCGCTCGTAGTCTGTCAGTGTGCATGGAGCACAAGATTTCTACCATGTATAGCAGTACAAACAAGGGAATGAGCAGAATGATATGTTCATTCTGTAAAACAGACTGTTCTGGTATTAGTTCATGCATGTAACAGATTTCAGGTGGAAGTTTGACGTCTTCTGCTGTAGCCTGTCTCAGTTTTGTAGACAGAGACTTTCCCCCTAAAGCCTCACTATATTTGACTGGGTCTATAATGCTATATAACACATGTGGCTGTGTTAATTTGACTTCCATCATTTCATTAACACAAAGAGCTTTTAAGTATCTAGTTGTCCGGTAATAATACATGACTATGTACAACATGTCAGAAATACAACCAAACTTGGCTGCTAATCTCAGCATGTGACGGACCATTTTGTCAACTTTATACATCAGTTTGTTGGCACCCGAGCTATTGTACCTGTTAAACAATAAAAATGCAATTGTTTGAAGTACATTGACAGTATATTTCTGTAGCAAGACAACTTGATACTGTGTCAAGGGTGATCCTATCAAATGTTCTAGGATGCGTAGACACTTAATGCAACGACGTAGATCCAAAACGAGCACTGCATGCGTTATACTTATCACATTGAAAAGTTCAAGATCAAGCTGAATTTCTGAGATGAGATTGTATTCATGTGTGCAGATAGACTGTCTAGGATTATAGAGGACATTTATAACGTAGGGCCTGATGGAGGGACTGTGAAGCAGGCATGTCAATCCCCTCTTTTATAATTCATACAGTCTAAGGAATAAAATCTTTTGTGCTTCACCATGGATATTACTCAGAAACATATTGTTTTCTGGAATGAAAAAATTAGGACAGACTCCCTCGTAAACCCATTTAAGAAGGAGCTTGAAGCAGACCCAGAAGCACTTTAAAAGATTTTGTGGACACCAATGAGGTATTGCGTTATGTTGAATCGCCCAGAATACTGCCGTCTTTATGTGATATGAACATAGCAATTTATTCTGGTCACCTAATCCACTCTGAATTATTTCTTTGAGGAAAATTTTGAGTAAACCATAGGTTAAGAAATGAATGTGATTCATTGAAGAAACAAGTTTTTGTTCTGCTTGAGAAAAAGAAATTCTCCATTCATCGTCTTCATGCTTTCCTAATTTGTGTCCAATTGCTACAAAGTGACATCCATTTCTGACTATATCATTAACAAGTTGAGGCTGGGGCCAAGTATGACATCTGTCTATCCATCCATTGGCAGATGGAGGCCAAACTTTGCACTGAAAACAGAAAGCATGATCATATTCTATTTCTCCTAGATAGCCACTTCCGCAGGGTCCATGTTCAGTAAAATTTGCGGGGAGTGCCAATGTACACACGAACCGTCTAAATTTAGAACTGGAGATATATATATTGTCATTTATTCTAACGCATGGAGAAAAGACTTCTCTATATGCTGGTATATCCATTATTGGCGCAAGTAACGTGTATCCAGGAGGACTTTCAGAGCAGTCACACAGAAGGAGAATTTTTCTATTCATATTGTAATTCAGACCTTGATTTAAGTCCCAGACAACACGAAAGATGCTGAAACATCTCATTAAGTCGACATCAGATTCCTTAAATCTGAATCCTTCTCTATAACTACCACTCCATATCATGTAGGTCCCTGTTTCGACTTCGAGTTGAATCCTCACAATTTCTCGGATGTCCTCTACTTCTCTCCTTATGTTGATCTGAGTAGAAGTGCCTACTTTACGACACAGTCCAGCGAACACAGACTCTGACATGCGCTGCATACCTGACTCACTGGAAGAAATAAAAGGGTTAGCTTATATAAATCTTACTTATAGCATGAACATACTGAATCTGTCGGAATTCTCATGGGTTCAAATTGCGCCCCGTTATTAGCAGACCTATATTTGTATTCATATTCAGAATTTGTTCAAATACTTATACGTGAGAAGAAAAAGACACGTGCTGTGGCCTTTAACTCGACATTTAGATATATCGACGACGTATTATCAATAAACAATGTATACTTCCATTCATATGTCGACTCGATATATCCCAGTGACTTGAAGTAAAAGATATCACAGAGCCTGACAAATCTGTTTCATTTATTTAGATATTTTACTAGAAAAAGACGTTAATAATAACCTTTCTTATAATCTTATGATAAACGTGATGACTTCAAGTTTTCGATGGCCAACTTTCCTTACTTATTTAGCAATATACCCTTTTCACCTGCATATTGGGTTTATATCTCCAAGTTGATTTGATACGCAAGAGCATGCTCCACATACGAACAATTTCTAAAACGAGACAAGCTATGGACAAACAAGTTGATGATACAAGGATATCAACAGTCTCGTTTAAAGTAA